TAGTAAGCAGCCATTATTGATTTTTCTCTAATAGTTTATACATTAACTCAACAGATATTAACTGGCTGCTATATATCAGCTACTGAGCTAGGTGTGATATATTGAACACTAATCAAGACATATCACACTTCTATCCTAATTACTCAGCTTTGACAGTGATTAACTATTATCCTGTTTATTTTATGCCTAGCAGTGATTTTAAATTTCTCTTCTAAAGGACAGAAGAAAGGGTAGATGTATTTATATCAGTGCAGAGCACATCTGACAGAGGATGGGTTTCTGCTTCCCCTTGGCAATCGTACATTACTTACAAATTGAAGCTTGAGCTTGAATGTCCACAGTGATCACACAACGAAGGAGTTCAATGTCAGTGTTTCAATGCTAAACTGTTCTAGCTGTGTATTTTATACAGCTTTCTCTTCATAAAAATGTTAACGCTTATTTTTAACCTCTTTGAAGTATTGCAATTTGATGTAAAAAATATAAAATCAAAAAGTAAAACATATTAAACTTTTAATCATTAAGCAGTTCGTACCCATATCTATTTAAATGGAAATTCTTAAAGAACTTCATTATTTAATTTGGTATGAGTGATACATTATGAAAGTGATTCTAAGCGATAGCAGTTAAGCAAACAGTCTGTATGAGAAAGTGTGTTTGTGCTTTAGAGCATCCAACCAGCGGGGTGTTGTCATGAGGAGGTAGTTCTAACCAGTGGCAGTCCAGGGAATTCTAGTTGGGTACAAAGAGAAGTCTAGGGGAGTCATATAAGCTTTTATAGGATTGAAGGTAGAGATGAGAATTTCAGGTGTATAGACAATGAAGTAGAAGATGAAATACACTTATTCAGACAAGAGTAAAATATGGGAAATCTGCAGACTTGACACACAGAGTTTAGAAACATCTGTATGTCATTCTGATTAAAAAGAAAACATGGTTTCTGGCTGAGCATTCACTTGTGTAGGAGTTGCACCAAACATAAACCTTGGAGGGTTGATTTGGGATTGAAGGTTTGCTGCAAGGAAGGTCACCTAATACTGTATGTTGGATCCTGAGCGTTTCCTCAAGGTTCAAGCGTGAAAGTTTTGCTCTCCATGGTGGCCCTCATGTGAGGAGGTGGTGCCTCATGGGAAGTTAGTAGGTTATTGATGCAGGCTATAAGATGTGCCCTCTTCTTCTTGTTGTTGCTTCGAAGCTTGTGAGGTGAGCTGTAGCTGGACTGTCCTTGGTGGGACTGCCAGCCTGCAAAACACAAGGAGACTTATTACTTACGAAAGATTGACCTTGGCTTAAGCTTTTTCCCAACTAGCTCTTACAACTCAAATTAACCTGTTTCTGCTAATCTGCATTCTGCCGTGTGACTCAGCTACCTTTCCTCTGTACCATGTGTATGACTTCTTCAGGGTCTTGCTGGCATCGCTCTTGCTCATAGATTCATCTCCTCTCTCTCCCCAGAAGTCCTGTCTGTTCTCTCTTGCCTAGCTATTGGCCATCCAGCTCTTTATTAAACCAATCAGAAGGCAGTGACACATCTTTACAGTGTACAAAAAGATTATCGCACAACAGTGAGCACTTAGCTCTGCCATGCTTTGACTCTGACTCTCGAACCAGAGATTTAAAATCAATGGTTCACTTACCTTCAGCTCAAACGTCAAGAATTTTGAGCTAAATAAATTTTTATGTTAAGTTAATTATTTCAGGTTTTTTCTATACACATGGAGGACTGACTAACATTAAAATGGCCAGAACGATTTTAACTGAAGGTTTGTAGACAATATCCTTCCGGCCAGAGTCTTTTCTACCCAGTCTGGATATCCTGGCAGAGCTGGTCGTTAAGAATATAGCTCTGAATTCACCTTGACTTGCCTCCCTTCCTTCCTGAACATTCTTTCCTCAGATTATGTCCAAATGTAACAACTCACAAATTCTCCCACTTAGGATGTGAACTGGGATTGCATCCAAGACTTGAATACAGGGTGTTTATCAGAGGCATCCATAAAAGTTTGTGTGTGTCACTAGTAATACCTTTTATTTTCCAGTATAAGTAGCTACAGGTCAGAGCTACATGTTATTGGACACGTGAAAACAAATAGTGCAGCATTCTTTCTGTATTTTTACCTCTAGGAATTTGTTTATTGAAAAAAATACCGTAACTTCAAGAATGAGACAGATATTACACATAAGCATTAGGTAAGTCAATTTTGAAAATATAAGTTTTTTTAGAGCTTTTTATGCTCCTGTTGAGACAGTTTGGGACTTAGTTCTGGTAGGTCATCTCCACATTTCTTTTGTCTCTTCTTTGTATAGCATAAGATAACAAGTTTGGGAGGAAGTTCTGTCAGTCTTTGCTTCTCGGGCATAGTAGTGACCAGTGGTCAAGTTACAGCTGTCCTGCAAAAGTTCCTGTGAGTCGTATTCATTCAGGCATGAAAGTTGCCCCAGATAACATCTGCTCTGCATGGTGGAATAAACCTTGAATATTTCACTTTGCTTCCTGCTCCAGCTTCAGAAGAATGATAGGAGGGGGGAGTTGTATAAACAGCACTATGTATCTCTTAATTATGATCTTATTTGGATCAAATGTCAAACGGTAAGCCTCAGTTCAATGTCTATTAAACATATTATTTTATTTAGATAAGTCACTGCTATAGTTTTAAGAAATACATTCTATAAAACTTTGTTGATAGGCTAGCATTTCTGATGCATTACAGGTTGTTGGAAATAGACATATCAAAAGGTACTAAAAGGAGGAACGGAAAAACAGAAAACCTGAATTCTGGCTTCTTAGTAACTTTGAGACCTTAGACAATTTCTTTATCAGAAGACACTTATGATAACCCTAGCCTGGAACCTCAATTAACATGGATCAGATAAACTTTAGAGAGCATAAAATTTATAATAATGATTTAAAGTATGCAAGACTCTAACTTTCTCAGAGTTTGGTGCTTCTGTGTATTCCTGTGGAAGCCACCTACATGGGCAGTGGTGGAGGGTCCAGTGTCAACCCCAGAGGTGGGTCTCTCAGATGCCACAATGTGACATTTTCTTTCTTACTCCTCTGTGTCCCTGGCTCCTTCCTTTCTGAAACATCTCCCAATTTCAAGGCTGTAGGTCTCACTTCTTTACCTGGGTGCATTTGTTGACCTAAATATCTACATCCTGCAGAATCCAGAGACTTGGTCAAAAAAGGAGAACACCTAGCAAAGTGATGTAAATGCATAGATACGTTTCAGATCTTCCCAACAACACACTGTCGTCATGTAGGTAGCATCCATTCCCTTAGTTTTCATCCTTTCGAATAGACATCTTCAACTTGTCAGCTGTAGCTGCATCTCCCCTAGTCATATTTGTGTTGATCATAATTGTATATTCAAATTTTGTTTTTCTAAACATGCTCATGGGTTCTGTTTTACTGGATTCATTTTCCAATGCTTGCCTGATCCCCCAGGTGAAGTAACTTACTTCAAGAGCTGGTTGGCTGAAAGGTGCAGTGAGAAGTTTGAATGACACATTTTTATTATATATTTTGGGTAAGATAGGGCTTAAGTGAGCTTTCTTGGGTTTTTATAGCCCAATAATATTAAACAACTGTAACACATAACATCGAATAAGAGCATATGTAGAAATTCTACCTCAGTATCAAAGCTAGGATGCTCTGAATGGGGTCATAGAAAGTGCTTTTGGTTATGCGAATTGTACTGTTCCCAACTCTTGTGTTGGTATGAGGATAAATTTTATCTATCCTTAGTCTTTTAATAGGATGCTGTAGTTAAAGTTTATCTTACTTTTTAATGCTTTCTGTGTTAATGAACGCTGCTAGAGGAGATATGCACCTGACAGAGCAGTCTTTGTCTTAATCCATTCAGGATTAATTCATCATGCCAGTGACGGAGTGCTTGCCTGCTGTGTATAACACCCTGGGTTCAGTCCTCAGCACTGTAAAATACATACATGCATACATACACTCATACACAACACACACACACACACACACACACACACACATATTAACTTCATCTTCACCACCATCATCATCATTATTTTTCACAGTTGTAGAGAGTCAAATAGTCCAAGTTCAAGGAACAGCAGAGTCAGTGTCTGGTGAGGTCCTATGTTCTGCTTAATAGATGATTCTTTTCCCTGTGTTTTCATATGGTGGGAGAAGGAGGGGTACCATTTGGGCCACTTTATCATAACACCAGCAGGCTCATAGCCTAATCAATACCAAATAGACTAATCAGTTACCAAAGGTGTCCTACCTCATGGCATTAAAATTTGAATCTGTGTGAGTTTGACCAATAAAATAGAACAAAAATAATTTTGGAGAAGCTTACTGTTAGCCTACACCAATGTGTCCGTTTTGCATTGTTAATGTGAGTTGAGTTTCTGATTTTTTTTAAACTCACACTATGTAAATGGATAAAAAGCGGGGGCTTTCTGGTTTTAAAGAAGTTTAGTCTGCTCTCTGTCAGGGTATGAACTTAGTTGTGTGCAGGATGAACCAGTTGTTTTCTGTATTTCACAGTACTAACCAAACTTTTTTTTTTGAGGGGGTGGATATCCCTTTAGTTATTGATAATAGCTGGTCATTACATTGTGTGAGTTTTCCTATAAGGGGGATGTGTAATAGATTATCTTGAAAACATACCAGTAGAAAAGAGAAGTGCCTTTCTGTAAGACAGATGTCAATCTGTAGTTAGACTTTTAGACTCAATGTTTTTATACCTTTTCTCCCATTCTTATTATCTTGCTTCTACCTTGTCATAATTTATTGTCCCACATTCAGGATAAGAGAGCACAAAGGCGTGCCTGTGCTATCTCAGACTTGGTTGGGGTCGATACAGGGTGACATTTTGTTTGACTTCATTCTTCCTTGTTATACAATTATACCACACTTGTTGGGACAGCTTGTGCCTTTCATCCCCCCAACTGAATTCCCCACAGCTGTGTTTGTTTACGATGACGTGTGGCTGGTCTGACCTTGTCCTCTGTTGTTTCAGGAGCTATGCCTGTCCCAGACCAGCCTCCTTCAGCCTCAGAGAAGACCAGCTCCTTGAGCCCAGGCTTAAACACCTCCAATGGGGACGGCTCTGAGACAGAGACCACCTCTGCCATCCTCGCCTCTGTCAAAGAACAGGTAGAAGCATTCCATTTGTGTCTCGTTCATGGGGGCATGTAAAAGTTGTTTCTTTGGGTGAACATCCATGATTACATTGTTTGAGCATAATATCATGTTAGTATTTATTATATAAAAAATATTAAAATTATTTTTGACTTCATAATACTTGTGATTTAGGCAGCTTTTCTTAAAAACATAGCCCAACATATTTCATAAAGGGAACACTTTCATGGAGTTGAACTTTTGGAAGGTATGTTGATTAAATTGACATTTGTTGTTATTGGGCATTTCAGGCCAAATACTTGGTGTACTGAAATATTGTCTAATAACCTGTCAACAAATATCTGGAAACTTAAAAATTGAAAATATATTGATAATAGCTGACTATTTCAGTAAGTGAAGGGAAAATGTCTTTCCTGGCGGTTTTTTTTTAAATGACTTCATTTCTGGGGAGGAAGGGAACTAGATTGCACTGATACTTTAAAAGATTGTACGAAAACATAAACACTTGACAGTTTAAGGAAATCAATAAAATTCATCATTAAAACATGTTAATTACAATACAGGAAAAATTCTACAACTTTCCTATCAAAGTCTTCAATATCTGATTGACTTCTCAGATATGTCATCGCTATAAAAATGAAAAAATAAATAAAATTTAAGTCTGAGATTTAAAAAGAAACTGTTCTACAAATGCTATGCTTCTTGTAAATCAAAAGTGATTACAGAAAACTGAATAGAGACTTGTATTTTCTTCTGCACATATTCTAGAGAATAAAACAGGATTATCAATATAAAAATGTAATTGACATGTAATTTTTGGATTTCTTTAAAGAATGCAGTATTATAATTTGAAACCTGTCCTGCAGAATCTCTAGATGGAGCATAGACATTTCTACCTGTGAAATGAACTCAGGTTGTTTTCTGACAGTTATTTTGAATTTTTACAGACTTTAGTTATACTGTCATTTTATAGAATATTAGACAAATTCTTCTGTTCAAATAGACTTTGCTACCCAGCATTGCACCTCTCTGCTCCTTCACACCCTAGTCTTTGTGGGCCTCATTCTGCTCTCTGTTGGGTTTGAGCCATTTTATTCCATGCTGCTGGGTTTGCAAATGCATTTGTGTAAAAGTGACACAAGGAACACAGGCAGGGACACTGTGCCTGTGGAGGAGCACGACCCAAAGGTGGGGTGATGAAGAGTAGGCACTGCTCTGTATGCAAGTGAAAAGTTCCAGAGGAAGCTGATCATGTTTAGTAAGTGGGCTGATTAGGTCAGTGTAGGAAGCCACCTACATATCAATCCATCAGTAAAGCTAAAGGAGATGCCATTGACAGGGAAGATGAATGATGTTGTCAGGAGTGCGCCCCAGTCCCAGAAAGCGTGCAGCTAAGTAGGTCTAAGGGAGAGCTGGGTGGATCGATTGGATCGTCTAGAGTGGTAAATGTAACTAGGATTGTGCTGCTCCATGAGTTTGCTGGTGAAATCCCACTCGTGAGTTTTGTGATCATTCTGAGGAAGAGTGGGTGTGGGAGCCCAGTAGGGCTTTGGGCCAGCCCAGAACTCGGGACAGTTGAGGCAGCCTGGTATCTTCTTTGGATTTGCTCTGGAAGTCTTTGTGAGAGACTGATTTAGTTCACTGACAAAATGTAAATTGGGAGATCAAAATTTAACAAGAAAATTGCATGACTTATCTATTGACAAAAACAGTGTTTTATTATGGGATTTGGTAGTGTAGTTTACAGTGAGAGAAAAGGCATGAAACACAGGTCATCAATATTATTACCATATCCCAAAGGGACACATAAAGTTAGACAATTGTTTCGTTGTCATTTTGATGTAGTCTCATGTAACCCAGTCTAGGCTTAAATCCTCATGTATCTAAAGAAATTGACTTTGAATTTCTGATTTTCCTACTTCTACTTTACAAGAGCTAGAACTACAAACATGTATGAACATTCTTGGCTTGTGAGATTCTGGGGATTCAATCCAGGGTCTCCTGCAGACCCATCAGGCACTCCACTGAATCACATACCTTGTTCGTGTTTAGGCATCTGTAGCCAGTATCATCTGCCTGGTTGTTTTGTAGACAAGCAGTAATGTTAAGGTCTTCTGGATATATGAATATTGGAAGGTTCAATGTAGGATAGAATCTGCTTCCCAAACATACTAATCACAGCAGTATCAAGTGGATGGAAATAGAAAGACTTATCTTGTAGGACATAATGAAGGGCTTATAGCAGATTCAGAGTGAGTTGGGGTCCAATTCCTTTCCAGTTAGTATTCAATTTAATACAGAGGCGCACTTAAATGATGCCAGCGTGAACATCTCAAATAAAATTAAAGTTCTTGCTTTACAATATGTAGGAAGAAATACCCAAGGAAATACCATAGTCGTAAACATGAAAAATAAGCATATTTGAAAAAAATATGGGAGATATATAGTTGATGTCAGGCAGTGGTGATGAGGGCTTTTATTCAGAAAAGCAAATTATTAGGGAATGTGTGGTATGTGAGGCAGTGGAGTAGCAACAATAGTAAAGTAAATTATGCGTTAGACAATAGAAAAGGGAGCCGAGAGATGGCTCAGTGGTTGAGACCACTGGCTGGCCTTGCAGAGGACCTGGGTTCTGTTCTCAGCACTCATACAGTAGCTCACCATGGTCTCTGCCGGTCTAGTTCTGATGCCCTCTTATGATGTCTGCAGGTACCAGGTACATGGTGCCCATGTATGTAGTCAGGCAAATCATTCACACACAAAATGAAAATAGAAAACTATTTAGTTAAAAGTAGAAAATACCCTAGAGGAAATATATGCCACAGTATAACAAAATGTGGATGGAGCTACTGTAACACTTTTTAATGCTGATGAGAAAAAGAACAGACAAGATTAGAAAACTAAGTAGAACATAAAAATGAAATTCACAGGAGAAAAATGTAAACAAGCCATGGGTATGTGTTTACTTTTGTATACATGCATTGTGCATGACAAATTTTAAGTACAGATTCTCATTTGATTCTATCAAGTATACCAGTATAAAATATATTATTATTTTATTCTAACTAATGGTTAAGGTTTAGCAAAATCCTCATTTTATTAATTTCAAAATGGCAGTGAATTGGTGTATGCTTTCCTTGGTCAAAGGATCTGTTTGTATGCACTGACCTTGGAGTGACATATTAAGTATCCAGTAGGAGTATTGAATCCTTTCAAGTCTGGACATACTGTTTATACCTTCAGATTATATATACATGTACATAATATTTACGCACAGATAATCTATCTGTCTATTATCTATCTGTTTATCTATCATCTATCTATCTGTCTATCTATCTATCTATGTATCTACCATCTATCTACTTATCTATCATCTATCTATCTATCTATCTATCTATCTATGGATATTTAGTACAATACTTATTTGTTATCTATCTATCTATCTATCTATCATCTATCTATGGATATTTAGTACAATACTTATTTGGGGGTCACAAAATACCTAGAAGAATATTGGCTAACAAAGAGAGGAAATAATAGCAAATTCTTACTGTAAATAGTGCAAACATTAATAAAGGTGAGTTGGAGCTATATGAGTAGCATTTAAAAACAAAACTGTGAGACATTGTAAAAGGAAATGGTATATGATGGTGTTACCGGGTCTTTAAAACAAGAGAATAAACTAACTGGGATTAAAAATCAAGAATTGAAAATGCATGGTAGGGCAGTGGTGAGAATCTGAGGGATGTTGGAGGAGGAGGAGAATATGATCAAAATATAGTCAATAAGAACATTAATAAAAATATATTATTTAAAAATTACTTGTTTGGGATATTCTAGAGATGTTCAAAGGAAAAGTTAAAAATGTTGCCTGTGATTACACTGATTATAGTATGTGATTACTTAGGAAGAATATAATGTGTTCATAAAGAGTATGGAAGATATCAGAAATTACAAGGGAAAATTTAGTGTAAAATAAACATTTATAGGATTTGGTCAATAGAAATTCCTCTTAAAGCTGAGTTAGTGTTGGATCAGTGTTGAGAACTCCGATGATGCTCCTAGTGCCAAACTTTATTGTTGTAAATAAAACAGCTCCAACAAACCCAGCCCCCACCCCACTTTTTTTGCATTATTGAGGATAAGTCCAAAGCCCCTACATCCAAGGCTAGACCTGTGACACTGGCCACACTTCTAACCTCCACCTTCGTGAGGAGAAGAATGTGAAACCTAAAGATCAATTTATCTAAGTAATCGAAGAATTCAATATTTGGCTTTGGGGAGCAAAACTGAGATTCTTCTGCGGTAGATGATTAAGATGAGAAGGAATCAAATGCCTTCCGGGGAACTTGACATAGAGCGTGCTGAAGGGCTCAAGGGAGACCTGTGGTCTGATGTGCAGTGTTTGCTTAGGTGGAGCGAGAAACGCACTGGGAAAATACAGGAACATTCTTTGGGTAGCCTGATCCAGACAATCCATCACTTCTGCATTAGGGGATTTAAGTTCTAAACAATTTTAAAGGATTATTTTCTCTCTTACATATAACTTTTATTTATACAGTTTAAACAAATTAATGCTATTTCTACAAAACATCATGTCGTCATAAAAACTGACTTTAAAAGTTAGTCTTTTATTTTTTATGTTTTCTTTTTATTCATGTGTATGTATGTGTGTCTGTGTTAGTGTATGCCATGTGTCCAAGCAAGTGCCCTTAGAGATCAAAATAGGATATAGGATACCCTGGAGCTGGAGTTATGGATAGTTGTAAGAAACCTTCCTTTGGATGCTGGGAACTGATCAGACCTTCTGAGATATGTGTAAACACACACACAAACACACACACACACACACACACACACACACACACACACTTTCTCTTAACAGCTCTATCATCTCTACAGCCCCGAGTTATTCATTTTTATCATTAGCAATAACATAGACAAGGTAGGTTTGTATTTTTAATTTAAAGAATACAATTTTATCTCCATCCAATAGGCAGTTTTGATAACTGGCT